CTGCAGGCACAGGGCTTTGTGATTAGTAGTACAGCGTTCTGTCCAGCTCAGATAGCTCTTTTGGGATCCACAGGGTCTTGACAAGCAGGGATAGAGACTTCAGAGACATGACTTCAGAGAACCAGTCAATCCCCCACATCGGGGAGCTAACAACTCTTGCCCAGGGCAGGGGAGGTGCCCTCATCAGGGGAGCTGCTCCTAAACACCACTGTTGCCAGCAGAGACTGCCACTTGCAGAAGTTGTATTCTGTAGACCTTACTTGAGATTCTGCAAGTACTCTGTGATTAGGACCTGTGGCTGCCTTTCGGTGGTGACTCAGAAAACTGTGAAGGAAATGACTGTACAGGTAGTGACCAGGCTGCCTCGTGCACTATGTGGTGCTGAAGAGCTTCATGGGAGCGTAGATCTTGGAAACGAAGGCTCATCAGGGAAGTGGGTTCTGTAGCTGGATCATGCCAATGAAAGCAATGCAGAGATCTTGGGATTCTGCTGTATTTGCCTCTGATGGCAGTGGTACCAAGCATGGGATTACGAGTCCAGTTCCCACCTGGCCACACATTTTTGGGTGTTTTAAAGGCATGTTGTATGTAGCTGTTTGCATTTGAGTACTTCCGCCTGCAATATGGGACCACTAGACCAGACCGGGTTCTGTGTTTGCACGTGCAGGATTGGGCTGCTAACGGAAAGGTTGATGATTCAAATCCATGCTCAGCTCCATGAGTGAAAGGCTTGGCAGTAAGTTTACATAAAGAGAAAACCCTCGGGGACATCTACTCTTTCACATTAGCTCCCTATGAGTTGAAATTGACTCAGTGGCACCCACCAATAACAACATAAGCCCCTAAGAACATGCTTGTTTATCATCTATATATCCTACACATGTGTGCTCTTTTTTGTTGTGTTTTCAGTGGAAGTCTACACAGCAAATTAGATTCCCACTTGGCATTTCTACACAAATTATTCAGATGTTACATTTTTCACAATATATCAGCATTCTCTTAAATTGTGTTCTGGTGGTTCCATTTTCAGTACTCTAGTCTCCCTGCCCCCATGTGTTCTCATCTTTCCTTTAGAAAAAATTGCTGACCTGTTGACTGCCTATAAATGGCTTTTTAATGGAGCAATATTTTCATACTGGGGTGGTGCTGTGCATCAGCACTGGACTGGGAACCACTAGGTCAGCATTACAAACCTACCAGCTACTCCTTGGAAACCCTATTACAGGGTCGCTATGAGTCGGACCCAACTCGATGGTGCTTAACAACAAAGATAATTCTCACTCTGATATCCTTTATTTTGTGAGTCAGTCTGAGATTTCACTACAAAATGGTCTCAGGGGCTATTTTCAGTTCTAGGTTTAATGACTATCTCAGGGTGATATCTCAGGGAATCCTCTAATTTCAACTGAAACAGTCAGTCTTGACTCTAAGGAATTGAGTTAGGGTCTGCATTTTCTCTTGTTTATTCAGGTCCCTGTCATGTGATAGTGGTAACTGGGTATCACTCAGTTCATCTGGTCTCCAAATGTTTGTTCCACTCAGCTACTGTTTTGTGTGCACATTGCCACAGGAATAAGCACGTCTAGATGACCCACTTACCATTCATCTGTCAGTTTGTCCCATTGTGCTGTGTTACTGGAAGCTATACTTCGTTGTATTTTAGATACCAGCAGAGTCACCCCATGGGGGACAGGGTTCAGCTGAGCTGCCAGCTTGAGACAGACTAGGAAGAAGGGGAAGCAGTTAGACACTGAAAGGTTAGACACTGAAAACCTAATGAATTGCAGACTATCATCTGATCTAGTGCTGGAAGGTGAGCCCTTCAGGTTGGAAGGCACTCAGAATACGATTGAGGAAGAGCTGCCTCCTCAAAGTAGAGTTGACCTTCATGATGTAAACAGAGTAAAGGTTTGGGGACCTTCATTTGCTGATGGGGCACAACTCAAAATGAGAAGAAACAGCTGTAAGTACCAATTAGTAATTGGAATGTGGAATGTATGAAGTAGGAATGTAGGAAAATCGGAAGTTGTCAAAAATGAAATGAAATGCATAAATGTCACTATCCTAGGCAGTAGTGAGCGGAAATGGACTGCTACTGGCCAGTTTGAATCAGTCAATCATATGGTTTACTGTCCTGGACAGGACAAATTAGAGCTATGAATGGAGTCACATTCATAACCAAATAGAACATTTCAAGCTGCTGCCTGTGATAAGCTAATAGCGTAGTGGTTACGAATCGGGCTGTGAACCTTAAGGTCAGCGGTTCGAAACTACCAGCCGCTCCGCGGGAGAAAGATGAGGCTTTCTACTCCTGTAAAGATTTACACCCTCGGAAACCCTGTACAGGGTCGCTATGGGTCGAAACCGACTCGACGGCACTTAACAACAACAACAACAAAGAAAACCCAGTTAATACCACTCTTATTCAACTTTAAGTACCAACCATGGCATCCTGGTGTGGCGCTGTGAGTTAATGCACTGGACTGCAAAGCCATTTGAACTGCAAGGTCAGTGGTTTAAGCTCACCAGCTGCTCCTTGGAAACCCTATACAGGGTCACTATGGGTCAGAATTAACTCAATGGCACTTAACAACAACAACTAAAGCTAGCGATGATGAAATTGAAGAATTCTACCAACTTTTTTTTTTTTGTCTGAAATTGATCAAACATGCAATCAAGATCATTAATAAATTACTGGTGATTAGAATGTGAATGTTAGAAATAAAGAAGAATGATCAGTAGTTGAAAAATAAGACCTTGGTGATAGAAATTATGCTACAGATGGCATGGTAGAATTTTGTGAAACCTGGCTTATTCATAGCAAATACCCTTTTCCAAGGAGCTCTGGTAGCATAGCGGTTATGAATCGGGCTGCGAACCGCAAGGTCAGCAGTTCGAAACTACCAGCTGTTCCACGGGAGAAAGATTAGCCTTTCTGCTCCCATAAAGATTTATAGCCTTGGAAACCCTGTACAGGGTCACTATGAGTCAGAACTGACTCCACGGCACATAACCACCACCACCCTTTTCCAACAACATAAACTGTGACTATGTATGTGGGTCTCACTAGATGGAATATACAAGAATCAAAGTGACTACATCTGAGGGAAGAGAAGGTGGGAAAACTCCATATCATCAGTCAAAACCAGGCCAGTAGACTGTGGAAAAGCCCATTCAATTGCTTTATTAGCAAGTTCAGGCTGAAGATAAAGAAAATGAAAACATGTCCTCAAGAGGCCTTGGGTGTATCTCATCTGAACTTAGAGACTATACAAACAACAGATCTGATGCATTCGACACTAATGAATGAATTTAGAAACTACTCCAGGAACAATTTGATGAATTAGACACTAATGACCGAAGACGAGAAGAGTTGTGGAATAACATCAAGAACATCATACATGAAGAAAGAAAAAGGTCATTAAAAGACAAGAAAGAAAGAAAAGGCCAAAATGGATGTCTGAAGAGGCTCTGAAACTTGCTTTTGAATGTAGAGAAGCTAAAGCAGCTGGAAGAAATGATAAAAGAGTTGAACAGAAAGTTTCCAAGGGCAGCTCAAGAAGACAAAGTGAAGTATTATAATGATGTGTGCAAAACTTCGAATTAGAAAACCAAAAGGGAACATGCTCAGCATATCTTAAGCTGAAATAACTGAAGAAGAATTTCAAGCCTCAGTTTACAATGTTGAGGGATTCTATGGGCAAAATATTGAACAACGCAGAAAGCATCCACAGAGTCACTGTGCCCCCAAAATTGGTTGCTATTTAATCACTTCAGGAGGTACCAAAATGATCAAGAACCAATGGTACTGAAGGAAGAAGCCCAAGTTGTACTGAACACATCGCAGAGAAATAAGGTCCTGGAATTGATTTAGTGTGCCTGTCCCAAACCATGGTATTTTCAGTCACCTCATGTTATTGTTGTGAAGTGCTATCGAGTTGATACTGACTCATAGAGATCCTGTTGAGGGTTTCTGAGGCTGTAAATCTTTACAGGAGCAGAAAACCTCCTGTCAGAGCAGCCGGTGGGCTCCAACTACTGACCTTGTGGTTAACAGTCTAGTGCTTATCCTTCAGAACCACCACACTTCCCAGTTGCCTCACATGTATGTGAAAATTGGACAATGAATAAAGAAGACCAGAGAAGAAGTAGTGCACTTGAATCATGGTGTGGCTTTCAGAATATTGAAAGTACCATGGACTGTCAGAAGAACAAAGTAATCTATGTTGGAAGAAGTACAGCCAGAATGCTCCTTAGAAGCCAGGATGGTGAGTAATACGTCATTTCTTGTATTTTGGACATGTTGTCAAAAAGGACCAGTCCCTAGAGAAGGACATCATGCTTGGAAAAGTGGAGGGTCAGAGAAAAAGAGGTAGACTCCCAACAAAATGGATCGACACTTGAAGGCAACTAGAACTGGCTCATTTATTAAACATCTAGTATGTGCTCAGCAGGAGAAAAATGTGGCCGCCTGCTCTGGTGAAGAACACAGCCTTGGAAATGCAACTGATGTTACAAAGTAAAACATGTATGTGGGCAAGTAAGATAGTATTGTTACAAAGTCATAGAAGCCTTTATTAAAAATACTAAAGTGTGAAGCTACTGTTTCTCAACAGATCCTCCATCTAGGGCTATACACTTCTGAAGACTGTTGTATCTCTCTTAACACTTTTCAGAGAATGCTGCACTCTTCAGCTGATACCATTATATGGTATGGTGCTGCAGGATGATGCACTGGTCCAAAAGGTCGGTTTGTACCACTAAGTCAGCAGTTCAGACCTCACCAGCCACTCCTCGGAAACCCTATACAGGATTGCTGTGAGTTAGAACTGACTATGAATAGCCCATGCCACATTGGTGGTGATGCTTGGAGGGGATAAGCTTGTTCTCATCTGAAGGATGTGTTATCCGAGTCGTCTGTTCAGATGTTGGCAGATATTCACTACTGGCCACCTGATCTTTGATGCTGCTGACCACGTATGTGCTTCTCTGTTCTGCAGGTACAAAGGAGTGTTCCGGCAGAGTCATGTTCAATTAAGGGCCAGCAGACGGCGCAAAGCACACTGGGTGCTGAGAGGAAGCTGCCACCCTCCTTCACGCGAGGGACGGGACCCATGCAAGCCCCTCCGGCGGCCTTCTTCTGAGACAGCAGGTACTGTTCCCCTTGGAGGCAAGTCCCTTGTTAGCCCAGGTTGGGCACAACAGGAACAGGCCTGCCTAGGTGCCCCATGACACATAAGCAGGAGCTTAAAGCCCAGGAAGGGGACAGGTGTGTGACAATAGTGGCCAAGGTCACCATCAAAGTAACCCTCAACCTGTGGAGAGGGCACCAAGTACGAATACTGAGAAACCAAGATATCTTTCCAATCCACAGCATACTGACCACTGGCCATCCCTCCCCCACACACCAAAAATAGAAGTTCCATTGGTTCCCTGAGTTTCAGAATAGAACTGGGCTCCACAGGGTTTTCAGGAGCTGGTTTTGCAAAAGTAGATCCCCAGGACTTCGTCTAAGGTTCCCCTGGGTGGACTTGAGCCAGCAACCTTTTGGCTTACAGCAGAGCACATAACCATCTGCACTACTCAGGAACCCCAGATGGACCCCAGGACTCAGGGAAACATGAATAAGAATGCTTGGTACTTCTTCCATCACCCACTTCTACAAAGGTAGCCTGTTTGACTCTTTCTAGGGCCACTGAGAGCAGGGATGGGCCGGCAGCTTGAGAGGCAACATGAACCAAGATTAGGAGTGCTGTGTGCCCACAGTGGCCAGCCACATTGTCCATGTGCGTCATGGCAAGAGCTATACACTTCATCATGTTTGAAGAGAAATGGAGTCTGAACTAGTAGACCCGGCTGTCTGGAAGAGGGCCTAGTTGAAGCTGCAATTATTGAGCATCAGGGCAACGCTTAACATCTAGGGACCTCTAACCCAGCAGTACTGAGTCCAGCCTCAGCCTCATTTTCAGGGTGCTGAGGGGGCATTGGGGAGCATTTATGTAAAGGCTGTGGCCTCATCTGGCCAGCGGTCACTAGATTCCCATCCTTCTGTGCTGAATGTTGACTGTCCAGTTCAAGGACTGATCCAGGGCTCTGAGGTTTGGGTCCCAAGGGACAGTTTGCTTGGGTACCTTTGCCTCCATCTTTGTAAAGCTCTAGCGCCCCCTGCAGGCAGATGGTGCTTTTGTGCTATCCCTATCCCCAGCCCCCAAAGCCTTACACAGTAGAGAGGAACCAAGACTAGTCCTCAGGGAGAATTTAAATCAAGGAAGGTACATTCTCTGACTGTTGAGGGTCAGTGGTAGTATGAAAGCATTGTCTTTGGTAAGGAATTCCAAGGATCAAAGTCCACCGGGGAAGGCTGGAGGTGGTAGGGTGGGGGTAGGCAGAAGTAGAGTCAGGGAATCAGCTTTGTGGGTGTTTCTCTTCTGTGGCTCCATCCTCACTACTACTGCCATGTTCCCCTCAAATAGACATGGCCGATGGAATTGCTCTTTGGGGTGTACTTGGTAACACTTCCCATGGAGGGTCTTTCAGGGTTCCATTTTTATTTGTACCCTAGGACGAGAGCTATCTCTCCCTCCCTCAGGAAGCAGAAAACCCCATGGAAACCCCCTTTGTTGCGTGGAGTCTCCAGCTCCGTATGGCAGCTGCAGGGGATGTTATGTCACACCTGTGCCTTCTAGATACTCCATGATACCCCTTTGTCTCCTGAATCCATCTCCAATTACCAGCCTACCCTTGGAAAGCCAATATGTTCAGGGAATGGCTCAGGGCACCCACAAGACCAAGAGTTGGGGTGTTGTGATTTCCAGAGGCACAGTGCCCCCCATTTGGAGTCAACTGGGCCCCTGCAAGAATATGATACTTGTCTCTAGTTTCCATGGCCCTACTCCAGTGTTGCCGCTATGAAATCGTGTTCTTGATTTCCCAGTCGTGTTGGGGTATCACTGATGGATAAGAGCACCAACAGAAGTCCTTCTGAGGCACTGACAGAGAGCTGCTGGCCACACCTGTTTAGGGACATGGGTCTCTCAGTGGCCATTGGTGGGACCCAACAGAACTAACAGAAACCCTGTCAATTATTCCTAATGATGGGCACTTCTACCGGTCTCCTCCCAGGCCCATCCCAAGAATCTCATCAAACTACCCCTGTATCTATACTCCTGAGCTCTGTGGGGAGAAAGTAAAAGAGAATACTGTTCAAGGTAAAAGTACACATAGGGAACATGGACAGATGAGATGGACCGAGGGTCCTCAGATCACTTTGGGAAGTACATTGGTGGCTCTGTGCAGCTAGATTGTGAGATTCTGTCTTACCTGCCCAATGGCCCCATGAATCCCAACTCAATACAACTCAACAGGGCACAGTAGAACTGCCCCATAGGGTTTCCAAGTCTGTAAATCTTTATGGGAGCAGACTGCCTCATCATGGTTCGAACTGCCAACCTGAACTGCCCACCTTTTGGCTAACAGCTGACTGCCTTAGGGCTCCTTTGTGTGTGGTCAGGGGTTTGCCAACTCCAAGACAGACCCTGCCGATGATGCCCATTATCTACTCAGAGTAACAAGCAACATGCATCAGGAAGAGGCATTGGAGGGGTGTGGTGATGAGGGAGACACCTGGCAGTTTGTGCTTTCTTGTGTGGTGGAGGATGAGGTCAGCTCATCGGTTCTTGAGGAGGGACTCCAGGAAGGTTCCTCTGGGCTGGTAATACAGAGCCAGTGTGGAAGTCAAGGGAGCAAGGCTCAGCCTTTGCAGGTTTTTATTTTCATCAGTCAATATTTCAAGTCCTTTTTGCTTCTGGCAGTCAATGCTGTATCATCTGCATATGTTGTTGTTGTTGTTGTTAAGTGCCATCAAGTTGGTTCCGACCCATAGTGACCCTGTATAGGGTTTCTGAGGAGCCACTGGTCAGCTTGAACCCCCAACCTTACAGTTCAAACAGCTTTGTAGTCTGGCGCACTAACCCACAGCGCCACACCAGGACTCCTTCTGCATATAGCAGGTTGTTAATGAGTTAGTTTGGTGAAACATATACATTTATATCCCGTCAAATCCTGGAGCCTGATTTCCCACCATTGCCCTCAGGGCAGCTTGGACTGTGGGTCACATGGTACCTCTTAAAATGGCTAAACATCAGCCATTATTTTTGGTACAGTGACTCTGTGTATTCCTTCCATCTTCTTTTGATGCTCCCTGCGTCATTCAATATTTTGCCCATGGAAGCTTTCACTATTACGACCCAAGGTTTGAAAGTTTTCCTCATTTCTTTCAGCTTGAGAAAAGCTGAGCATGTCCTTCCCTTTTGGTTTTCTAATTCAAGATCTTTGCATATGTCAGTATAATACTTGACTTTGTCTTCTCAAGCTACCCTTTGAAAATTTCTGTTCAACTCTTTTACTTTGTCATTGCTTCCAGTCACTTTAGCTTCTCTACAATCAATAACAAGCTTCTGACATGCATTTTCTTTCTTTCCTGCCTTTTAAATGAATTTTTGCTTTTTCATATATGGCGTTCTTGATGGCATCCCACAACTCTTCTGATCTTTGGTTGTTAGTGTTTAATGCATCATATCGATTCTTGAGATGGTCTCTAAATTAAAGAGGGATATATATGCCTGGTATGGAGTCCTGGTGTGATGTTGGATCAAAAGATCATTTAGTACCACAGGATCAGTGGTTCAAACTCACCAGCCGCTCCTTGGAAACCCTATACATGGTCACTATGAGTCAGAACCAACTAGATGACACTTAACAACAACAACAAGACATCCATTGGACTTCTTGTATGGTGCTGTAGGATCACTAGACTTGTAGGTTTACTAGACTGTAAACCACAAGGTTAGAGGTTCAAACCCACCAGCTGCTCCTTGGAAACCTTACACAGGGTTGATATGAGTCGGAACTGACTCAACAGCACTTATCAACAACATACTTTAGCTTTTTTAGCCTTGTTTCCATTTTCTTCCACTTCAGCCTGAACTTGCATATGAGCAATTGATGCTCTGCTCCGTGGTCTGCCCCTGGCCTTATTTTTGGCTGATGATACTGAGTTTTTTCACTGTTTCTTTCCACAGCTGTAGTCAGTTTGATTCCCATGTATTCCATCTGGTGAGGTCCATGTGTATAGCCATCCTTTCTGTTATTTACAAAGGCATTTGCGATGAAGAAGTCATTGGTCTTGCAAAATTCTAGCATAAGACCTCCAGCTTTGATTCTGTCACTAAGCTCGTAGTTTCTAACTGCCAATGCATCTTATTTGTTTCTGAGTCTGCATTCCAATCACAAGTAATTATCAATGTATCTTGATTGCGTGTTTGATCAATTTCAGACAGAAGTTGGTAGAATTCGTCAATTTCATCACCACTGGCTTTAGTGGTTGATACTTAAACTTGGATAATAGTGGTATTAACTGGTCTTCCTTGTAGGTGTTTGGATATTATCCTATCACAGACAGCACTGTAGTTCAAGATAGATGTTGAAATGCTCTATTTGGTTACGAATGTGACATCATTCCTCTTCAATATTTTGTTCCTGGCATAGTAAACCGTGTGATTGCCTGATTCAAAATGGCCCATACCAGTTCATTTCAGCTCATTAATGCCCTGGCCATTGATTTTTATGTGTTCTGTTTAATTTTTGACCACTTTTAATTTTCCTAAATTTATACTTCGTAATTACGTGTTCTGGTGTCCTGGTGTGTGTTAATGCATCAGACTGCAAAGTCGTTTGAACTGTAAGGTCAGTGGTTCAAGCTCACCAGCTGCTCCTTGGACACCCTATACAGGGTTTCTATGGGTCAGAATTGACTCAACGGCACTTAACAACAACAACAATTATGCGTTCTGATTATTAACGGATGCTTGCAGCTGTTTCTCCTCATTTTGAGTTGTGCCCCATCAGCAAATGAAGGTCCCCAAGGTTCCATTCATACCATGTAGGCCACCTTTGAGGAGGCTTCTCTTCCTCAGCCTTATTTTGAACGCCTTCCCAAACGAGGGCCTCACCTTCCATCCCTGTATCTGACAGTCTTCTTCTACTGTTCCAAGGCTTCCCGTGAGTAACTATTCAGAAGTGGCCTTCCCCTCCTTCTTCCTAGACTGCCTTAGTCTGAAAGCTCTGCTCACACCTCCCCACATGG